TGGTGCTTTATTGATAAGGACTATTCCTGGTTCAGAGTAAGAGGTGAGTTCTGTACATAGTAGGGCCCTCGAGTTTCTCTGTCCAGGTGAAATGCTGCAATAAGGGGCTCTAGAAGCCCAGGCCCTGGGTTGGTCCTAGAGTCAAGATGCTCCCAAGATCATGTATGTTTTTTGACCATCTTATTTGCGTCATACACACAACCTTGATAAAGATTCTTTGGAGATGGACCTAGGAACCTGGATTGGAAATGAAATTCCGGATAATTTTTTATCTACATCGAGGCTCAAGGGCCAGCCGTTGCTTTTTGGCAGGCCAACTGTGTCTCCTCTATAAGAAATTAAACATTGCTATCATTTCCCACACCTACCCCATGACTCACCCCAACTTGGATGGAGCACAGCCCTTGTCAATCATTTATGAGTTGTCTTTGAAGCCCCTCAAGAGTCCCTCCTTCCCCAAAGGGCCCAGAGTGGGACAAGCATGCTTGGTTCAGGAACAAACAAAGTTTACACTAAATCCCCATCTTGCCCCTGGTTACCTCCTCTTTACACCAATAAATGGTACCGGCTCCTCCCTCTCTCCCTCCCTCTCCTCTTCCCGGAGGGAGTTAGAGAAGTCAGAGCCATCAGAAAACTGATTAATCTACAGAGCAGGCATCATGAGACAAAAATGCACTTTTTTTTTTAACTTTAGAAGCCTGCTTCAGGGACAGCACAGTGAACAGGGACTTCTTTTTACTGAGGGGAATTGGGTAGTTCCTACTCACGTTGATATAAGTCAGATCAATTATGAGCCCTAGGAAAACGCAGTTGCTTTCTCTGGAACTCCCCAGTCACCTTCTCTGCCACCTGGGCCTCTGTAGCTTCCTATCCCGGGCTGCAGAGAGATATTTGCTCTTAGTATTGGAGGAAACTGGTTGCTATTGTTTGAAATAGCACAGGAAAACCTAACTAAAATCCAGGCTGCTTCCTTGCTGAGGAATTTTCCCTTGAGTCATAAAATCTCTCATTCATTCATTCACTCATGTGTATTTGAAGGTGTGTGCATGTACACATGTATTTGGAGATTAGAGGACAACCTCAGATGTCATTCCTTGGGTGCTATCCACTGACATTATTTTGAGGCAGGGTCTCACACTGGCTTGCACATTGCCAAGTAGGCTACTCTAGCTGGCTAGCCAGCCCCAAGGATCTGCCTGTCTCTGCCTCCCCAACTCTGGTTCCTAGAGCTCAGATCTCGGTTCTCATGATGGTGAGGCAAGTGCCACCTGATGAGCCACCTCCCAGCTCCCCTGTCCACGTCTTTGTGTCTAAAATGAGCGGTCCCTACTCTTCCTCCCCTTCCCTAGGGGCTTTTGAGGACCGCAGATTCTCATTCTGAGAAGAGCCATAGCCGTAGACCATCAATGGTAAAGGTTGACCCAAGCAATACATCAGTGTAGTCATCAGCAAGGGGCTCTACCTGAAGCCAACAGAGGGCCAGCAGGTCTCCTGACACCTGCGGAGATGGCTGGGGATGGAGTGCTGTCGCGTCTGCAGACATAACATCCTCTGGTTCTAGCAGAGTCTCGGAGATATCCTCCTGATCCCACTGTGGGTAGCCTAAGGATCCGGGCATCATTTCCAAGCAGATGTGTGTGTGTGGGGGGGTGAGTATAGCTGGACACTTCATGAGAGAGACGGAGAAAACGTCCCCTCTCGGGAGCTGGAGCTGCTGAACTTACCAGTTAGTTCAGTTTGCATCAGACACTGGAGTTGTGTGTGGAGCCCGGCAGGCTGTCCAGGCTGTGGCCTGGACTCAGCCTGCTCCCTTCCCCATCAGCCCCTCCTATCTTCTTTGCCCCAGGGTCCATGAACTGGGAATGACTAAAATCTTTGGCTAACTGTTTTGTTGTAGCCGGGCTGACCCTGGCATAGAGCATCTTTACCCATTCACGTCTGCATTTTTAAAGAGTTCATTGTTCCCTTTCTTGAGAAAAGGCTGGCTGTCTGGCAAGAATTAAGGAGCCCTGAGAGGCCTGAGCTATCTAACATTTCTTGTTGCCTTCTCCCTCCCAGGCTCTACAGGATAGTGGACCCTGTCCAATTGGAAGCCTGTGTCTTTCTGCTGGTCAGAGCCTGACATCAGTTCCTCACCAGGCCTGAAACAGAAGCTGATCTCATTCCTCAGTGTGCCTTCATCCCTGTGCTCACCTCATGCCCATCACCTCTCTGCCTAACACGGGTCCCTCTCCCCGTTTGTCGGACAGGGAGCAGCAAGACCTGGGCCTGAGCAACTGCTCCTAAGCTTCTAGGTTCCCCTCACTCTATTTGCAGGGGCCAGCTCCTTCTTGACCTCGGACATCTCCTGTGCCCCTCCTCCTCCAAAAGTCCTCCCTGTGGCCTCCCTGTCACACCACCCCACTCTCTCCCTGCCATACCGCCTCTATCACTGGATCCTCAGTCTCTTCTCTGTACAGTGCTCATCATTCTGGAATTTTTACTTTCATTTGTCCCCCACCCCCACCTCTTCTCCTTTAGAAATGAAGACAAGTTTCTTAACTGCTTCTGCTTGGCACAGTGCCTAACCCCTAGAAGACTTACTAGTTCATGGTTTGTTTTCGAGACAGGCCTAGGCTGGCCTCAGACCCTTGGTGAGTCTCTTGTATTCGCCTAGGATTATAGGCATGAGGGCCTTATGCACAGCTTCCTTGCTGACAGCGAATGAGTTTCTTTTAGGGATGGGGAAGTTATCTCAGCTGGTAAAGTCCTCGCCACACAAACATGAGGACCTGGACCTTACTTTGGTCTATGGAACTGACACACTCAAAAGTAAGGCATGCTGCTCCACACATACAGTACTTCAGGTGGGGAAGAAAGAGGGTGATCTCTGGGATTTAACTAGCTGGCCAGCCTAGCTAAGTGGGCAAGCTTCACTTCCATGCCAATGAACACATACACAAATGACAGACAGACAGACAGACAGACAGACAGACAGACAGACAGACACACACACACACACACACACACACACACACACCTACATCCTTCTTGTTTCATCCCATGGCCTTGCTGACTGTTTTTCATTTCTCTGGGCTTCATAAAAGTCAGGTGCTGTTCCTAGGTAACTTGCATAGATGATTCTGTCCCAGCTTGTTCAGTTTTGGAGGAAAGCCATATTTCTCCCAGCCGTGTGGCTGGGAGGCATCTCTGAGCCAGGACACAGATGCTGGGCCATGCCTACATGGGCATGGAGGTCACTTCTAAAAGGAAGGCAGTGGAAGGGACTAGCCTTTGAATACTAAGTAGGATCTGAGCTTCCCCTGGAAGTGCCAGGCCTTATACATAGGGACTGCAGTTGGCAGATGGAGGGAACCTTGATCACGGCTGAGTTAAATGCAGCTGGAATTTGCAGTGGGATAAAGGGAGCCACATCGACAGGAGGGCTTTTCCTGTAAGCTCTGATGCCTGGTGGATGCCTACATCTACAGACCGGGACTCCTACCTGGAGAACAGCAAGGGCATGGCTCACAGGCAGGGACCTCATCAAGGCCTTCACTCCGCTATGGATGCTGGACTGAAAGGCAAGGGGACCTAGTACATTTATTCGTTGACACAGCATCCAAGCTAGCATCTGCTAGGACATGTCATATATCCCTACACCCACTCTGGAGGGCCAGTGGTATGACTGGTAACTGTTTGGACATGTTCTAATAAGTGTCTCCTCTCCTCTTTCCTTCATAGAAGGATGCCACAGAGAGACAGGATGGCCCTGGGCTTGTGAGCACTCAAGCTCACCCCTGTGAGCCCTCTGGCATTTTTAATAACCAGGCATAAGGATACTACACAGCACTGAGCCCTCACCTGCTTTAAGATGGGATGTCGGCAGAGGCCCATCCCATTCTTCCTTGGGTATCTCTCTAGCTCAGGAGCTCTGACACCAAGACATAGAGACAGAGACTATTGATACAAGGTTTCTGGCCTGGTGGGGTCCCACCACCCTTGAGCCCCCAAATAAACAGACGCTATATTATAAAACTGTTGACTAGGACTTATTGGCCAGATCTGCTTAATTATTAACCCTTATCTATTAATCTATGTATTGCCACGTGGTCTTATCTTACCAGAGAATGCCTGGTGCATCCTTTCTTCCCAGTCCTTTCACAGCGAGTCCATCTACCTTCTTTTCCCAAAATTCTCATCTCCTAGTCCCTCCTATACTTCCTGGCTTGTCAATCACACTGACCCAACATGATCGGCACATCATTGTTGCCAACCCAGTGGCTCCTACAGGCAGTAGCTGATTGAGACCAAAGGCATCAAGGGAGGCAGACTTAATTGGCTGAGGGGCAGGATACAGAGTGACAGAGGCCAGCACAGTCTTGAGTGTGGTCAGGGGTTGTCAGTTCATCCAGCACTTTCATGAGGCATAGAAATGTGCCTGTTTGGGAAACACGGAGCCCTGTGGCAGCTTTGGAATCGAGCTTTGGTTTATCCAAAGCTCCATGCAGAGAGTTTCTGCAGAGAGCAGTGGACACATCGACAGGTAGCTTACACACCTGAGCTGCACCAAGGCTCTCCGTGAGACTCTCTGTTCTTCCCGCTATGGCTCTGACACAGCTGTCTGGGTTTCCAGCAGAATCTCCATGGTGGTCAGTTCATGAAACCAGGAGACCCTGTGGTCGGCCTCTAGTACCAGGTTCGCCTGTACCTTTTATGATCCCCCCGGCATTCCTGCTGTCTTCCTGTCCAGGCTTGGAGCACCCCAGCCCTCTCTGAGCCAGCCTTCATTAACATGCTTTGTCTAGAGCCTCTGAAAACACGCAGAAGAATATTTATGCCCAACCTGCTAGCTTTTTTTAAAATGTCAACAATCCAACTTATTTTTTGGCTTTTTCTTTGCTGTATTAGGAGAAATCCATTTCCCTTACAGACAGCAAGGTGACCTTCCCTGAGTATGAACATTTTTTTTCCCTGCTAGTCATTGTGCTTCTCATAACTAAACTCTTCCTACCCTAAAGCAGGAAGGACAATCTTGTATCTACGCACATGTGCATGCGTGTGCCCCTGCACGCGTGTTGAAGGAGGCATTGAGATTGGGTTCGTCCATCTGATGAAAGGAAAGAATGAATGAACACTTGCCATAGAAGGCACTACTAAATATGTTGTGGTTGTGGGAAAGATGGGAAAGACAGGTAATTGATTTTTTAAAGTACATGTGTGTATACGTGCATACATTCACACATACATACATGCCACCATGTGAATCCAATTCAGTTTTGTCACACATGGCAGTAAGAGTCTTTACCTTGCTAGTCCCAAGACAGTTGATAATCAGGATCAGGATTTCTACTAAGCCTGGAACATGGCTGAATCGAACAGTACCCAGGGTGGGTCAGGGCCATGGGGAAGGGAGAACAAACATGTGATATAACTTAAGATTCTGGAAACAGGCTGGATCAGGACATTCCCTGCGGACTAAATGCTCCATAGTTAGTAAGGAGCACGTGCCAGACGTTAGAAGGACTGAACAGATGCAACTGAATTCTAGGCAGTGGAACATACGAGCTCTGATTTCTTGATTCTGCCTCCCTCACAGTGGATGGACTCACTTTCAGATCCTACTGTAAAGGCATAAAGGAAGCTTGCAAGTTGGAAGAACCTAATTACAGGTTATTTTATTAGATAATTCTTTTGTCATGAGCTGTAATTTGCCCATGATTTAGCTAAGTGAAAAGCTGCAAAGGTTCTTGGATATGTCTGAATAACAAAACACTTGCTTTATATATGTGAAGCCCAGGGTTTGATTCCCCAGGACCACAAACAAACAAATCCCTTAATCAGCCAACAAATCAGCCGCTATACAAGCCTGTTTTTTCCTGTGTCTTAAGTGTCCCCCAATGGCCATATGTTAAAGGACTGGTCACCAGACTATGGTACTACTAGGGTATGATGGGAAGTTAATCACAGGAATATGTCCTTGGAGGGGACATATGAGTCCTGGTCCTTCCTGCTTTTCTTTGCTTCCGGTCTATCATGAGGTGAATAGCAGGCTCCCATACATACTCCACAACACAATATTCAGCCTCACAACAGTCCCCAGAGCAACAGTGGCCACCAGTCATAAACTGAAATAAACCTGTGTGTGTGTGTGTGCATGTTCATATATATATATATAGTGACAGGTATGTGTGTGTCTGTCTCTTTGTCTCTCTATCTGTATATGCGTGCTCATGTGTATATGTGTATATAGAAACCGGTATGTGTCTGTGTATGCACATTCATGTATATATAGGGACAGGTGTGTGTGTGCATTCTCTGTGTGTGCATAAACCAGAGGACAATGTCAGATGTTTTTGAGGCATGTACTGTTGACTCTTTTACAACTTTTTTTCAAGTCAGGGTCTCTCTCCTGGAGCTCTTCAAGCGGGTTAGGCTAGCTGGGCAATGAGTCCCAGGTGTCTGCCTGCTTCGTCCTTTCCAGGCAGAGTACAGGCACACACCACAGACATTTGTTTGTTTTCTATTTTATGTGGGTTTGAGGGGGTTGGACTCAGGTCTCCTGAGGATGGAGATGACTCTGCATCTGGGTGAGCACATAGAAAATACTACCCGTCTGGTCCCACTCACAAGACAGACTTTCAGAAAGTGTACCATCCTAGGAGGCTTTGGGAGCTAAAGAAACACACAAACACATTGACATCAAGTCAGAAACCCTTCCTGAGAACTCCCAGGCTCACCACACTGAGAAAATAGGCTCTTGTGACCACCAAGTCCATCTCTAGCATACTGATGTGAGTGTTGTGTTTAAACACAGAAGAATTATGGCAGGAGAAGCATGTTCTGATTGCTTGAAGGGAGTACTCTGGTTCCTACAAGCCCGTTTTAGGTCAGGGTACAACCTGACTTCAACAGTTAGATACAATACTCTCCAGTACTGAGTCCCATCTCCTGCTCAGTCATATGAAATGAATAAAGTGATTGCTGGGGCTTCAGAACATGTATTCTAGACCCAGTCTTTTTGACTGTCATGACTCAGTTTTCTCCTTGGAAAGCAGACTAATAATGATATTGTTGGACCATTGGCAAAATAAAATGAACTGACACACAGATAGCTCTTAGAGTCATGCTGGGCCCTTAAGGACTACCAAGGGTTTGCTATTATGGTTGTCTGTTTTGTGCATCCCAAGTTATCTGTGGAGGAAGGATGCCTAATGGGATTTGGAGCTGGAAGCAGGATGCCACCATTACTAATTGATTGTGTGGCTTGGCAACTTAACCTCTCTGCAAGCTTTAGTTTTCCTCCTAAAAATGCAGATGATAATAACTCCCACTGTGCAGTCTGGTGGAGATCAAATGAAGTAATACATGCAGAAGTACTTTTAAAAATTTCAAATCGTCGATCTTTCACTGGATTAATATTCCTTCCCAGACTTCTCATAAAGAGGGCAGGGATAACTCTCTCTGCCTCACAGAGGAACTCGGGGCAAAGGGACTCAGTGGTTCACCCCAGTTCTCCTGGTTGTCCGGGGGGCGAGTCTAGCTTGGGATGCTGTCTCTGCTCTCAGCAACTTCATCAAACCGCCAGGTCAAATGCACTCTCCTGTTGTACTGGCTTTGAAGCCACGTAAATCAAAGCAAAAATCCTCCTCCTGCCAGTTTGCTACGTTCCGATTGCTGCTTACTTCAGAAATGGGAACAATTAAACCAGGAACTTGATTTTTATAGACCTCAGGTCAGGCCCAGCATTCCGCATCCTTGGTCGATTTCCCCCACCACTTCTTAGCTAATCTTAGAAAGAGGAAACTGTCCTAGAGTGGCTCATTTGCATCAAGACCACTGCAATCTGTAAGTAAATGGCATTGCTTTTAAGTGCCAAGGAACACCCTGAGTTGAGGGAAGACTGTCGTCTTCCATTCTACAAATAACTACAAGCCTTGAAACTATTCCCTCTTTCCTCCCAGGAGACCTGCTCCAGCCCTCTTCAAAATATGACCATAAAAGGTTTTCTCTAGTCAAGGGCCTTGCCTGCAGGGGGAATCATTTGAGGAAGAATTCTCAACTGGTGGACAGCAGGGTTGTGGACAGGCAGGCAATTGAGTAGTCTGCACCTCAGTTGGAGACAGGAAGCAAGCTGGTTCCTCACGCACACTCCAGGTATGGGACCATGCCATCCAGTGTCAGCTCTCACTTTATGGGGTCCAGGTTAGGAAGTTAAACCCTTTCGTCAATCTCAATCATATGTTGTCTGATAAGTCCTTGGACCTCATTTTCCTGGCGCTACTCTAATACACCCATGTGCCACTTTGAAGTCCCCACAATAAATTTATGGGGTGGCTTACTTTCTGATCCCATGAATTAGTCATTGATTAGTCTGTGCTGGAATCGGTAGTGTCCAGCAGATGGTGTGGATTCACTCATAGGATGTATTGACTTCTTCTCCCTCGAAATGGAATCAAAAGCTACTTGAAAAATGGAGTCTCCAAGGCTAGACACAGACTGAGAAACCACTGTTTTGTCCAATATGGGGTAACTTAAAGTAGGGTCCCGTTGCAGGGTCCCAACCAGTATCCCTTGGGGGGGTGGGGGGCAGAAGATGCAACACCAACAATATAGGTATCGGGAACAAGTTGAAACAACAAGTTCAGTTTATTCCAGGAAGGGTAAGCCTTATAGCCTTCTCAACCCTGCCTCAGCTTTCTGCTTGGGTGACTGACAGTCCCATTTGGATTAACTCTGACAATGTGATGCCTTTGTTCTTTATTAGAAAGCCCCTGGCTGGAGAGTAATCTCATGATCTTTGGATAGAAATGCCGTATACCCCTCCAAGGTGCACAAATGACTCAGAACCCACTCTTTGAGCCACTGAGCTGGCATCTGCTGAGGTGATGAGGTCACTGTCCACAAGGCCACTCAGACTCGGCTGCTGTTGTCAAGGCCTTCAGGCAGACCCCGGCTGGCTGTCAGGAGATGTCTACTGCACATGCTGTAGGCCAACTGTCAGACCCATTGAAGCTTAGTTATCCTGCAGGGTGCAATCTGATATCAATATAAATGAAAGGTAAGAAGAGACGTGGAGAGAAGATGCAGGTTCAGCAAGACCTCAGAGGTCGATAGGACTTCTCCACTGTCCCTCACTCCATCCTCATCCCACGGTCTGGCTCCTGCTTCTCTGTTCACATCATGGTCTTATATTGTTGGCTGGGTGGGTAGTCAGGTATCAGCAGATTTTGGAGGTCACTGGATGGATCCCTCCCTCATCCGCAGCTTGTCCACTAGGAACTGGAACAATGGGACTCTGATTACTGGGTCAGAGAGTGGGTTCTGAGTCATTTGTGCACCTTGGAGGGAGATGTGACATTCTTATCCAAAGATCATGAGATTACTCTCCAGCCAGGGGCTTTCTAGTAAAGAACAAAGGCATCACATTGTCAGAGTTAATCCAAACGGGACTGTCAGTCACCCAAGCAGAAAGCTGTCTCTTCCAGGAATAGCGTAAAGTCTACCCTAGAGCAAGTGTATAGATGGGTCCAGTGGCCCCTTTGACCATTGTCCACTCTCATCTATTGAGGATGCCCCAGTTTGCTCTGTAATGAACTGTATTTTGCACACTGCAGTCTGGTGTCTCCACTGAGTTCTTTTGCCAGAGATCACAAGGACCAGTGGAGACGAGGGGGAAGGCAGAAATCCTGCTAATATCATTCGAACTGGCTTCTTGCTCCTTCTAGGTGTCCTCTGGAGCTCTGCAGTCTAAGAAAGCTGTCTAAAGAGAGCTGACTCATCACGCTACCAACTCCCTCTCTTCTAGTATTTCTCTGCTGTGTTCTCTCTATCCCCGCCCTTCCCTGAATGCTAAGGATGGAGGTTCAATAGAAGGTTACCACTTGGGGTGGGTTGGGATATAAGCTCAGTCCCTGTCACACTGTGTGACTGCAGGAAGACCTTACTGGGTTTACTACCCTCTGAACCTGAGGGTTTTGTCATCTTCAAAATGTCAGTGCTCTGCTCTGAAGGCTTTGGTATCCCCTTCGAAGTCACACGATGAGACCCCAGCTCCCAAGTTATGACAGGAGTCGGGATGTTTAAGGAAGTCGTGAGGGTTCTACCTTCCTAGAGTAAATGCCCTTTATAGAAGAGGCAAGAGAGAGACCTCTTGTTCCTTTCCATGAGGGACAGTGAAGATGGGGGTTTCTGTGCCTCCTGGTCCCACAGCCTTTTAGCCCCAAATAAACACATGGGCACTATATTAATCGTTAAACTGTTTGGCTGATGGCTCAGGCTTTTTATTGGCTAGCTCTCTCTTAATTATTAATCCATTTCTATTAATCTATATATTGCCATGAGGCCATAGCTTATCCATAATCTGGCATATTACTCCTTTGGCAGCAGCATGGCATTTCTTGGTGGCCCATCTTTCTCCTTTCCCCAGCATTCTCCTCCTCTGGTAGCCCTGCCTATACTTCCTGCCTGGCTGCTGGCCAATCAGTGTTTTATTCCTCAGCCAATAAGAGAAACACATATACAGAAGGACATCCCCCATCAAGACAGAATGGATGGGGCACTCTCATGTAGAGTTTGTTCTCTCTATCATTTTGTGGGTTCCAGGGATCAAACACTGGTCTCCAAGCTTGATGTATGTGCCCTTACCCACTGAGACATGTCATCACCCTGTGAATGCTTTTATGTTCTATCTTGAAAGGGCAGATCTGTACCCCCTAATGTAGGAAGGGGTTTATGTGTATACATTATCAACAGCTTAACATAGTCTGCTGGTGGGTTCCTTGCTGTCTTTCCTTTGTCTTGACGTTCCTCCACATATTTCCCATTTTTTTTCTGATAGTATAAGAGCCTACCTGGTTTTTTTTTGGGGGGGGAGTGCAGGTAGGGCAAGAAAGGAGCTAATTTTTTATAAAGTCCTTTATTACCACCCTAGTTAGGGTTTCTATTGTCATAATAAAACACCATGACCAAAAAACAAGCTGGGGAGGAAAGTGTTCATTTGGCTTACACTTCTAAATCATTGTACACAGGAACTCAAGCAGGGCAGGAACCTGGAGGCAGGAGCTGATGCAGAGGTCATGGAGGGGCGCTGCTTACTGGCTTGCCCCTCAGGGCTTGCTCAGCCTGCTTTCTTTTAGAACCCAGGACCACCATCCCAGGGATGGCACCACCCACAATGGGCTGGACCCTCCCCCATTGATCACTAAAGAAGAAAATGCCCTACAGGCTTGTCCACAGCCTGGTCTTAAGGATGCGTTTTCTCAGTTGACATTCCCTTCTCTCTGATGATTCTAGCTTATGTCAAGTTGACATAAAACTAGTCAGTACAACCGGCCTCTTGTCAACTCAACACAAAACCACATCACCATTAAGCCACCATTTCTTTCTCATTCATCCTCAAGATCTCACATTAAAAACACAAATAACTTTAAAAGTCCCATAATCTTTACGAATTCAAACAAAACTAAAAGTTCATTCCGAGCCAGGCATTGGTGGTGCACACCTTTAATCCCAGCACTCGGGAGGCAGAGGCAGGCAGATCTCAGTGAGTTCGAGGCCAGCCTGGCCTACAGAGCTAGTTCCAGGACAGCCTCCAAAACTATACAGAGAAACCTGTCTCGAAAAACAGAAACAAAAACAAAAAGAGTTCAGTTCGGTGAACACATCCTCTCTCTCTAAAAATCCAAAAATCTTTTTTAAAAGTTCGAAATCTCTCAACTGTGGGCTCCTGTAAAAAAAAAAAAGTAAGTTAAATACTTCCTTGCTTCAAGAGGGAAGAACCAAGGCACAGTCTCAATCAGAAAAAAAAAGCAAAACCAACTACATGAATAACTCAATATCCAATGTCTGGGATCCACCCACGATCTTCCGGGCTCCTCCTAGGGGCTTGGGTCGCTTCTCCAGCTCCGTCCTCTGCAGCACACACAGCTGTCTTCTAGGCTCCGGCTGGCTCCACTCCATAGCTGCTGCTGCTGTCCTTGGTGGTCATCCCATGGTCCTGGTGTCTCCAAAACGCTGGGGTCTTTCCTGCAACTGGGCTGCACTTTCACCAATAGCCTCTCATAGAGTCTCTTCATGGTACCAAGGCCTTCAATCCTGGGCCTTCAACTGCTGCTGAGGCTGCAGCTTCACCAATGGCCTTTCCTGGCCTCTCACAGTGCCAAGCTTCAGCTGATCACCATGACCCCTTCATGCCTTCAGAAACCTGGACTACCTGGGTGACTTACACTATGAAGTTTGGCTGGCTCTGGGACACAGCTTCTGTATAGTGACTGTCAGGAGACACTTCCCAGAAGGTTTCACCTCAATGATGCTGGCCGCTTCTGTACTAATTTCTTAGCTCCACCTAACTAGCATCAAGTACAGCAAAGTGAAGATTTCACTTGGTAGTTTCTGGTGTCTCCTTAATTGTAGCTGATTCTGCAGCCCTAGCTAACCGGAATCACAGACAACTTATTCAAAATAAGAAATGGCCACAGTGGAGTCTTTAAACTTCCCTCTGAAACTTCACAAGCCAGTTCTGTCATCGGCACTCCTGTCAACATTCTTGTCATCCACACTCATACAGAACTGTTCACAAAGTATTGAACACTCAGTGGCTTTTTGTTTTCCATAAAGTTCCAAAGTCCTTCCACAATCCTCCAAAAGCATAGCCATGCCTGTCAACATCAATACCCCACTCCTGGTACCAACTTGTCTTAGCTATGGTTTCTACTGTTGTAAAGAAACACCACGACAAAATTGCAAGTATGGAGTTGTTGCTGATTGTGGGCTAAGAACCTAGCCAGAAGGGTGTGTGTGTGTGTGTGTGTGTGTGTGTGTGTGTGTGTGTGTAGTCACTACATGAGGCTTGGGTTCCTCATGTCTTTGTGGTAGGAAAGAAGGGAGACAGTGGGTGGCTGTGGTCAATACAAAGTATTTTTGTGAGGGAAGTTCATTCTGTAAAGTATTCCTTCTTTGTGAGGTTGCCTCTTCTCTATAGGAAAGAAGATAAGTCTAAATCACTATATACTTTTCTCTTAGATGCTGGGGATGAAAGTTACTGGGACTTTGAACATGCTGGGTGCACACTCCACCTACAAGCTGCAACCAATTTTGCACACACTGGGTGCACACTCCACCAACAAGCTTCATCCGAACCTCCAACCTCTAGCTTTCCTGATAGTAGAGCAAGCCTCAGACTTGAGTCTCCGAAGCCCTTCCCTGGCTCACCTGACTTTTCCTGCCTCCTCTCCCCCACCATGGTTTCATGCTTTGTTTCATCAGGCTGGCATTTCAGGGTAAATCCAAAGCAAACTCTGAGATCTACTTATTTCCCTAGGCATTCCCCATCCATGCATGTTTTTAAACTTGTTTTTGTCTTGCTGATCTGTCATTTGTTACCGGAGTCTGGCTCAAGTAAGTTTTAAGAAGAATGGAAACTAAGAGCCCCAGTTTGTTAGTTTGGCTTTGCTTGTTTTCAATGTTGCCACTGTGTAAAGTGTAGCACACAGATATTGGTTGTTTGTTTTTGTTTTCATTTCAGTACAGAATTCAGTCAATTGCATGCACTGGAAACATTTTATTACAAAGTAGGCTTTGGGGAGATGCTTTTGCCCAACTGGGCATCTAGTCAGTGCTGTGATCACAAAGGCAGGCCAGGCTGAGCTCTGGCATTTGCTAAATTAGATTACTAAACTGCAGTTTGTACTTAATGGCATTTTCAAGTTGTGATGGATTTATCAGGATACAAGCCCACTGTAAATTGAGGGTTGCCTGTGTTTTGCATGTATTACATTGTCCTGTTGTTAATTTGTCTTTTGCTAGTCTAGTACTTGAGGCCTTTGCTGGACAACCTGAAATAAAAGTTTTCTAGGTCTGTTTCACCTCCTTCCACTGACCGTTGCTCATAGCCTTCCTCCTTCCCACTTCTAACTCGGTTGTATTCATTTCTTTCTTGCTGTGACAAAAATACCTGGCAAGATCAACTTAGGAAGGGAGGGTTTATTTACTCACAGTTTGGGGGTATAGCCATCATTTGAGGAGAAGGGAAGGTGAGGGGGACTCCAGCTGTGGTGACAGGAGCCTGGGGTAAGGGCTTACATTACCCTCACAGCCAGAAAGATGAGCGATGAAGGCTGATGCTCAGCCCTTTCATACCAGGTGTCTTCCCTCCTCAGGTGAAGTTCCCGGGAACTGTCCTCAGAGACATGCACACAGGCGCACCTTTTAGGTGACCCCGAATCCCGTCAGTGATGGTAAAGACCATCGCACTGTGGCAAACCTCGTGGTCTTCAGGTTCCCACCTTAAGAATGTTCATCCTTGCTTGTTAGACGGCTTTCCTGAGAGCAGGCCACTTCGTGGAACATAAAAAAAAATCTGTTGGTCTGGAGAGACGGCTCAGTGCATAGGAGCACTAATTGCTCTTCCAGAGGTCCTGAGTTCAATTCCCAGCAACCACATGGTGGCTCACAGCCATCCGTAATGAGATCTGGTGCCCTCTTCTGACATGCAAGCAGACCTGTATACATAATAAGTAAATAAAGACAATTTCTTCTAAAAAAAAAAAACCAAAACTCTTATTCACATGGCTGGATGTTCATTGACCTGACTCTCCCCATTCCAAGGGTCTCTATAGCATGTGATAATGACCTTATAATGTCTCCTTTGTGGGTAATCACAAATTTCCGTCATACATAGACTGGACCTTGAATTGACAGGCAGATGACCAAGCACTCTTCCCTGTTCAGCCATCTCTCCAGTCCCTTGAATGATGTAATTTAGAGATCTGTAGAGGTCACTGGCTTCTTTGCAAAATGTTGGCACTCTTTTGTACATGTTTTTCCACATAATTTAAGGAATGTGAGAGCTAGATCTACTGTAGAAATTTTCAAGTAAGAACTTGATTGCTGCCCTTCAGAAAATTGAATTCCATTATGTTTTTTCATCTCTGCACTTCCTTAATTTTTAATCCTTTTTCCCTTTCCATGTTTTATACAATTTCCTTCATTAGACTCGCATCCCTGTGGTACAGACAAGAGTTTTGCAGACGAAAGTTGAAGTGTTGAGTTGCCCAAGTATGAGGTATTACTGCATGAGAGTTTCCCTGAGCTTCATGACAATGAGGGTCGGGATGAGTTGTGTGGATAGGTATACCTAAGCTGTGAGTAAGAAATTGTCCCCGAGAAAAAAAGTAACTCAGCACAAAGGAAAACAAGAGTGTTCATGGTCTCCAGAGGAGACAGCAGGCAGATAAATGGTGTTGAGCAAATCTCTGGCCTTCCTGGCTTGCGTCTGTCTGGAGTGACATTATCTCTCAGCCACTCAGGGAAGCAGATGCAATGTGTCTTTGCTATCACGTATATAATGTAAGTCAGGAGGGATCCCTGTCTACCTGTCTGAAATGGTCCCTCATCTCTCACTCATACAGAGATCATCTGAAGCTTTGTCTCCGAATGGAGGAACCTCTGTTCTGCTGAGAAAAAAACATCTTCTTTCTTTTTCATGCCTGTTCTCCACCACACAAGGTGACCCTCTCTCCCTCCCGTGGATACAGGTTCCTATTCTACCTGGTCCCACAGCCATTTGGCCCCAAATAGACACACTGGCGCTTTTATTAATTATGAACTGTTTAGTTGATGGCTCAGGCTTTTTATTGGCTAGCTTTCTCTCTTCATTTTCAACATATTTCTATTAATCTAAGTATTTCCAGTGTGGTCTTATCTTACCGGAGAATGTCCAGACCAGTAGTTATTCCTTTGTCGGCCACGTGGTGTCTCCCTGGCAGCTTCTTTCTGCCTCCTCTTCCCAGAATTCTCCTCGTCCTATACTTCCTGCCTGTTTTATTCATCAACCAATAAGAGAAACATATATACAGAAGGACATCACCCATCATCCTCCCTCCCTCCCCCCACCTTCCTCCCTTCCTTTCTCTACTTCCCCATCTCTCTTGGAAACAAGGTCTCACTACGCAGTCCTGTCTGGCCTGGATCTCACTC